CTGTGCTCTGAGTGTGCAAAAGACACAGTCCTACACATGCTGAGGCCACAACCAGCCAGGGCTGCTGGGAGTCGCGCCTGGAGGGCTCCACATTCCCCTGCAAGGGAAGCCCAGTAGATGAGACAAGGACGTGCTGGCACAGCGTCGATTGTACTTTGGACTTCACTTTTGGCACAGTTGCCAAAACCTTGATCTCACCATCTCGCAGGAAACCTCAGGGGCAAAAGCAGCGCAGCCTGCCTTACAAGAAGGGTGCACAACCATTTTGACCCAGACAGCCACATCAGTTGGCACCAGCAAGCCAAGGGGATCCACAGCATGTGTGAATGCACACATGCACGCACACGCGGGCAAGCATTGGCATACACACTCACACAAACACACACGCCTTGGGATTCCATGGCTTGCACGAGCACAGGAACCCCTGTCCTTATCTCTGTTCACCAGTGGTTGGAGAGATGAAGGCAAGAATTCCCTGGTTAGCACTTCTGCAGGGAGTGCCATCGTGGGAAATCTCAGCAGCACACACCCCATGGCAGGGACAGTGGGTCAGGAGCCCAGAAGTGGCTTCCACGCCCAGTCCTGAAGCAGCAGAGTTTGAAGACAGCACTCCAGCTGCTGCAAAATAAAAAGGCCCAGTTCGGCCTAACGCTGGGCTTACTCAGATCCAAAGAGCAACCAGTGTGTTATTTGTCCTTTGCTAGATGAGCAAAAATTACAGGGTGGGGAGAATGTGCTTTTCGAGATGGTATCTTTGTTGAAAGCAACATCTGCAATGTTCCAAAAACCATCCCACGTATGATCAAAATTTTTATGTATGAAAATATAGGTTGTTTACTGAACGCTTGCTTGACACAAGCCAGGAAATGCCATGTTGCCTGTAACATCACATGAAAACTAAAGCACATCTGCCCTAGTGCTAGAAAAAGAACCTCTTCAGTAAAGGAAAGAACGCCTACTATAATTACTATGGATTTAGTCTTTTTTTAAAAAAATCTCAAAAATAAAAAGAGATTTCATATGCTTGTTTTCTCAGACTCCATTAGAATGGAGCCAAAATTATTCACCATTTATTTGTGATAATTAATTTGCATCATCATCATTATTGAAACACCAAAATATATTTGTGTTCTTCAGTGATTTTTGGCACTCCATGTAAAATTGCCAAATCCAGATCAGTACAATTCCTATATTAGGCCTATTCAAAGGTCACAAAAAGCTTTTGAGATCCTCTGATATTTTCATTACACAAGAAGTTCTGTTTTTTGAAAATATAAAGTCCAATTTCGCCTACCACCTTAGGCGAAAAAGCACAGTGACTGCTTCGGAAAGAGAAAAAATTCAGCCCACTTCTTCAAAATATCCTTTATTGTCCTGGTTTTTTTCCCTTAACAAGTAACGACTGAGTGGAGATTTGAACCCAAGTCTTATTCATCATAACCTGCCAGTTTAGCCAATATGTGACACCAACTCTCTTACATTTATCATCTCTGGAGGTAAGAAAGATTATAAATTAAGAAACCCTGCAGTGAGCATTAGCATCCCAAAACTTGCTTTTCTTTCCACATCTGACCCTCATGGCACTTAACTAAGTCTCAGTAGGAAGGTTCATGCCTCACAAACCTATTTGTGAGCAAAAGATTCTCAGGGCCACCATGGGTTGTTCTCCTCCTGCTGGTAGCCCACTGGACTTCCAGCCACAGCCACCTTGTCTCATCCCTCTGCCATGTTTGTGAGCTGCTATGTCAAGGCAAGGCAAGGCAAAGGCACAAGCAATCTTCTTACAAAAGGGGTAATCACCTTTTATCCCCATTTGCAATGAAATCAAGGCTTTGAGTGTCTACCATATGTTCTGGAGGACCCAACTATTCTACCCATTCCCAGGAATGTAAGTGAAAAGATCAGCTCATCCGTTTTCACTGACACTTGCTTTTAACAGCTGTCAGAAGGAAGGCTTGTCTGTCTGTCTGTCTGTCTGTTTGTTTTGAAAACCAGGATTTAGAAAAGCTAGTCAGGATAAGTTAGCCAAGGAAGTATACAGTGTCCAAGCTACCCTGTTTTGCCTTACCAGTGGTCCCAGAAGCAAGAAAAGGGGGAATTGGGGCAAGAAGAGGGTAGAAAAAAGCGAGGGAAATGCGTTGGCAAGCACCTTTTCATGCTGCATTGCTGACCGCTGACCACAGCACTGCATCATACCTGACTGGATGGAAAAGGCAGGGGGAATTGTTTTTAAATAGTAGCAGCACAGATGCTAAGACAGTCAACACACTGGTTTTAAAAAAGGGAAATTTTTGTGGTTTTCAAGCATCCCTTGGGTCCTTGCCTGCTTTCATGCAGGAAATGTTTACATGCGAATATTTGTTCCACCAGCATATCAACGCCAGGTGCCAGGGTTCCACTACCTTCCAGCATGAGCACCCAAACTGAATCCCAGCAGGAGCTCTGCAGACTGCATGAGACTGTGAAGGGTCACCACTAAGAATGAAAGCTATTTCTTATCACTACAGGCAGTGTGGCTGGTAACCAGTGACATAAGATTTCAAGGATAAGACATTCAGAGAACACTGTGCTACAAATGAAAGATACACACTGGCAGTACAGTCAGGATGCAAAATGTGTAGCCCGTGAGCTACCATCAGCCCCCCCCCCCCACTCTCAAACCTTACATGGCACCCTCCCAGTAATGCTCTAGTAATGAGGTCAAGAGTTCCTGTCATAGCTGCATTCATTCTAGAACTTTCTAGGAAACATGACTTGAAGTTCCTGCATGCTTCCTAGGATACTCCAGGAATTAAGTTTCTATGGCTGGAATTAAACCTGTTTCCTCCTCCTCATCATCATCATCGCACTACATTTATATCCTGCCTTTTTTCCTCTTCTGAGGAAACCCAAAGCAGCTTCCATGGCTCCATTTTATCCTCACAACACCCTGTGAGGCAGTTTAGGCTGAGAGTGAGCAACTGGCCCAAAGTCACCCAGTGGGCTTCATGGCCTATGGGGACTAGACTTGGTCTCCACATGGGTTCCCAGCCCACACTGGTTCTGAGATTGTTTTTTGACCTTTTTCTTTGTGGGTGGTGGTGGGTGGCAAGGAAGATTAAAGCTGTGAGGAAAAGGTGCACATGTGAGGGCGTAGGTGGAAAAGGACTGGGTGAGTGAGGGAAAAATTGGTATAGCTGTATGTGGGTGTGGGAACTTTGTGTCTGTGTTTGGGAGGCAGAGGGGCCCCTGGCCTTTGACTGACAAGCGAAAGGAGCACAAGACGCCCACCTTGTCATAAAATGCTTTAAAATATTGGAATGTATACAAAGCGAGCATAGTGACTTTTGGGGTACATTACTCAGTCCAGATTATTTCAAGTTTTCTCAAATTTTAAGAAACAATAATTATTCATTCAGCCTGTATAAATTTAATAAGTCACATAAAGAAAATTGTTCTGATAGCTTGGGCTTAAGCGTATAGAAAATTACTTTGTATTACTGTTTGGATGGAAAAAAGACAGAGAGATTGAGTTTGTGCGTTATAGAACCTTTGGTCAAACCTGAACCCACAGTGCTTTATATTTTCTTTGGGCGCAGAGAGTGTACTTCAAGCTGGTTCCCTTCCCCCAGAGCACTTTAATTGCTTTGCTTTGCTATCTCAAATGGCTTCTGTGACGACCCAGAGAATGAATCTAATATATGTGCAAGAGACACGGCAAGTGCTATTGTGCTATCTTGTGACATCAAGCAGTCCCCCCAGGTTTGCAAGTGGGGGTACACATGAATGGAGCCAGAATGGGGTTCCCTTACAAGCACGGCTAGTGGGTCAGAGGAGAGGGAGAAATAGAGAAGGGCATCTGGGGCAAAGAAAGGTGGCACAGCAGAGACTGTTACCTGGAAGGAATGCTTCAGCAGTATCAAAAAGGACAGAAGGGGAAAGCATTGCATGTTCTCAGCGGAATGTGCTCGTGTCTCCCTGTGCTGCCTTCGCTTTCCCAAGTGTGGATAACACAGGAGCACCTTACGAAATCCCAAGACCCCCATCACTTCAGCACTTCCTAGCCGATGCTGCCCCCAAAGCGATTTTTGCTTTGACATTAAAATAAACACTTTTGCTGTGATTCTCCCCTTCCGCCTCCATGATTTTACCGGCTTTTTTTTTCTGCCGGAGAAAGTAAACAGGGTGATGAGCAAGTATCCCCAGATATTGAGGCAGAACTTTGTGATAAGCAGAAATCAGACACTGACCCTTGTTTCCTGTTGTGGTTTCCAGATCCAAAATAAGCCCTGGTGATATATCACGACTGGGTCCAGACAACGCAACAAGCCCACAATGGAAATAAACCATGTTTTCTTGCCAAGACATGCAAACCGCACCTGTGCCTGAAAGGTCAGGTTATTGTTTGGCTATTTTAGGGCTGTTTTAGCTCTGAAGTGAGTTACACATTAGCCGTTTGCATCATGGCAGTTCACTAAGTGGTGCAACCTTACCCTCTACCTTGTTGTTTAGTTATAACTATTTTAAAAATAAACTTTTATTCCCTTTGCCTCAAACTGGTGTGTTTCTTATCTTCACTCCTGTAAGATCTCAGGGAAACTCAGTCTAATCGGCTGTAATAAAAAGTGTCTTTCTGGTGCACTAGAGAAAGTTGTCTGTAAAATGGCATGTGTGCATTCACTGACATGTGCAGTGACATGACCACAACCAACCCCTCCCCAAGGAAAAATATGCATCTTTACAAGGCTAGAAAGGTCTTTGCTCCCTGATAGGGAGGACAGGCAAAAACTTGCAGAGTTTCCAGAAGGTTGGAATTTATTTGGTCACAAAAACAATCCAATGCAACTTTTTCCACTTGATGCAAGAAAACATCTTTGTTTGGCCATCCATAAATACTAAGACTGCAAAAGGTGTCCATTGAACAGATTATAGAAAGGCCTTATAGAGTACAAGCACTGACTTTTTATTTATTTCCTGCTTCAAACAATGTGAAATTTTATGGAAAGCATATACAAGCTATATAACAAAAAAAAGTGCATTTTATTTTGATTTTTCTCTGGCAGCATTCCTACAATGGAAACATTTTGCTTTTAACAAAGTTTAAAATAGACAAGTACTTGTTATTTACAACATGTACACAACCCTTATAATTCAAAATGCCCAGGTGCTATGCTTGCTGAACACATTCCTGCTATGAAGGCCATCCATTTTTAAAAAGAAAAAATGGAATTCCAATTCCCAACAATCAGATTTTTTTCCCCTCAGCACTTCACTTTGACTAGCATCATGACATGACCATCCGTGCAGCAGCTGACTCTCTTGAGAAAATATCGAGGGAGGAAATAACACACAGGAGAATGGGTTGACGTTGTCCATTCCAGGAAGTGTCAGGTTCCTAGAAAAGCAAAACCTGAAACTGTAGCAGCTTAATCAATTTGTTAATTGAAGAGAAACAGCGATGGGAAGTACCACAGAGTCCACTGTTTTCAGATAGTGCTTTCAATGAATGAAGGTTGCATCGGTGCCCCTGCATCCGTGAGGTTTCCTTCAGCCGTACTCACAACATCCTCTTGCTGATAGATATCCTGAACGATCATGGTATTTGTGTTCTTCCAATCTCTGTATTTCTTTGCTGTTAGCTCATGATCCTCCAACAACTGGTTAATCATGGCCAAGTCACGTTCTTTGCACTATGGGGAAGGAAAACACGCACATACAAACACAAATTACTGAACTGAAAATGTTGATTGGCTTCTGCCTTCTCTCAGATCTGGAATGTTCCCCTTCCTGTTGCTATTCTTTCTCTTCAAGCTCTTTTTAAAGTTTAGAAAACACATTTCTTCCTCATTATTAGAAACTGCCCATCTGTTAAATGCAGTTAGGATTTCAGGAAAGAACGGACTGCTGAGCATCTCAGTAAGTTAAATGGGAATGTGTTTCCCCACCCCACCAAAGGTTAAAGCAAAACTCCTCCAGAAGATCTTACCTTTAACGTGCTATTGAGTGCTCGGATTTTGTGGAGTTTCTCATTGACCGATGGGTTTTTGCTCCTTTTGATAAAGGACTTCCTCAGTTCCTTCTTAGTCGAAGGCCGCCGGTCCCCAATGGGAGATAAACTGGCTTGTTCCAAGGACTTGAAGAGTTTCTCCATTTCATCTTCAGAGCATTTTGCATGGGCTGTATGAAAGATAGAAAAGAGAGCATCTGTAATGAGAAGTTCTGATGCTTCTGGAGTTTGTGAATCAAGCATGCTGCATGAGCAAGCAGTTGCTCCTCCTGAATTTAGAGAACATGATGAAGAGGCAGTGCTGTCTAATGGTTAGAGTGCTGGACTAGGAGATCCAGTTCTAGTTGCCACATGGTTCTCGTTTCCTCTGAGTGGCTTTGCAGCAGTCACAGACTCTCAGCCAACCTACTGCATAAGGTTGTTGTGGTGAGCATAAATTGTTGTGAGCAGGACTGTATAAGCTGCCTGAGGTTATTGCAAGAGGGGGAAGGCAAGAGAGAGATGTAATAAGACTGACAGAATACGCAGAGGAAGAAACTAAGGTGACAAACTGGTGCAGAGACACACATGTATTGGCCTATACTTCCACAGCATACTATGGGGGTTGGTCAGAAATGGCTCTGCATGGAGAGAGCTCCCACACACGATGTTCCCAACGTACACAGAGCACACCATTGCCCACAGTGGGGATCTGTTGCAGGCCTCCGTGCCGGAACTGGACGGTTACTGGGTCCGGTATGGAGACTCAGCACTTCCCGTACGCCAGCCCTTCCCAACCAGGTGTTCTCCAGATGGGCTGAACTACAACTATCTCCATGCTCTGCTAGTATGGCTGGCTAGGGATGATTATCCAAGACGTTATCCAAGACAGTACTAGAGCGAGGGAGCCTGCTCCATGCATAAGGGAGGTTTAGTACAGAAATGGCTGCAGCTGCCCATTTTCATAACTTTGCCTCTAAAGTTTCTTGAAAGAATGGTGTATACATCTGCATATACAATCCTCCAGAAAAGGGAAAAAGCAAACCACCTGTTCTACTCCCAGCTCTTCCCCAGAATTTGTACAGAGTTCTATTTTTCATCTTTTCCCAGTTCTAATCCATTCATCTATGGCATTAGTTTTCTCCCAATCTTTTAAGAACCCTTTCTTTTCAAAGCAAAGCTTTAGCTGGACGGCACTCTACAAATATTTGTCTTTGAATGCTCCTTAACATGTGCATCTATTCATTTTACAACATCCTGCAATATAAACACACCATCAATTGTGCTTGGATGACAGCTAAATATAGCTTGCTACTTTAACACAATACCGAAGAAAATGCCTTGTTCTGTAGCAAAGTGATCACAGGAAAGAGCATTACCGGAGCCAATGCGCCGCTGTAGCATTTCCTGTGCAAATCATGGCCTCATTAAATGTGTCTCAGTGATAGCAAAAATCCTTCCTACTTATTGTAGAAAAAGCAGCCATTGCTGGTTAAAAGAGATGGCCCCAGTACAGGTGTTCTGTATAACTGTGCACTTTCCAATGTCAAAAGTTAATGCAGCAAACAGATTAATGGAGGAAATATTCATGAAGAATGTGCCACCCAGGCACCCTAATTGGAGCGTGGCCCCATTGCTAGATAGCGAGTGATACAAGACATAGGAAATTCACACTCATGCCACACTTGAATATTCTAAAATTGTCAAAATGACATGCAAACAGTGAGACTGACTGTTGCAATAAGGCCTATCACTTAAAGAGAAGAGGAATGAAGAGGCTGCTTTGGGAACCTACCCAGTGCCACTTCACACTTAGTTGTCACAGTACACCAAAGGGGTGCTCTGCCCCCTACTTTTGCTAAACTCTTTCCTCCCTACAGAAAAGCATTGTTTTTATGTCCCTTTTGCAGGAAAGGAAGACTTTTCAAGTGGCCTCTGACTTGTGGTGACCCTATGTGTGAAATCCCTCCAAAATGTCCTCTCCAGGACAGCCTTTCCCAGCTCTTATAAATGCTGGAGAGATGACGAAATGTAATTCACACGACCCCAGGCGTACTTGGGTATTGTGGCCCAAGTCGCCCAGGTTTCTGCCCAGACCTTACAGCTCCTGCATGTCCTTCTGGATACATCTGTCTTCATTAAATTTGGGGAAGGATTTCACTGGGATAGCCTTATGAGATGACCATGCATGAGATGGCCAGGCAAATTCTCCATTGTTTGCTCAGTGGAGAATGCCTAAAACAGACAGGAGTCATTTCTAAGAGAGAGAAAGATTTGATACGGTTGCTTTCAGCTCCACTATTTGGGCCTGCAGAGTCCCTTAAGGGGCTAGACAAGGAGCAAGGCCTGGCACTGTGTATGTAGGGCTGTACCAACATTTTTTATCTCCCCACCCAACCATTTGAGGTGGGGAGGGTCAAAAATTTATATAAAAATTGTAGGAAAGGTATGAAAGTTTCCTGAGAAACCTTCAGATCTTAGGCACTTTCCCTGTGGTTCTGCGATGTTGAGCGGTACATGTTTGTGTTGTTTTCTTTTTAATTATTTATTTGGGTATTTTTACCCAATCCATTATGTTGTGGGTCCCTGGACGGCTTACAAGTCAAAATCCAATAAATACATATATACCCAAATAATACAAAATAATCCACAAGTGAGCATAAAAATAGTTAAAATATTATGGAAATTATGGAAAAATAAAAAGGTCTTGACCTGGCGCCGAAAAGCATATAATGTCAGCGGCAGGCAGACCTCTCTGGGGAGCGCATTCCATAGCCAGGGTGCCACCACAGAGAAGACCCTCCTCTGAGTATGTTCTCTCCTAAGCTCCTTCAGTGGGTATTTCAGCTTGGTCAGCTGTTGGCACCGCCGCCAGTACAGGAGTTATGCCAGCCCACATGCACAGCTCTGCTGCACAGCTTTTAAAAGGGACAGGAGACCTTCCTCTTTTGCTCTGGATCACCAGCTCTCTCTCAAAACAGAGGAAGAGAAGGACAGCTTTGCAAGGCTTCCCCCAAAACATATGTCATTTCAATCAACTCGATCCATCATTTTGGATGCAGGAGTATCTGAAATTCTGAATGGGTATCCCGGGCCTACTGGCTGCAGATATGCTCCCTATGCCCCACCAGGTTGAGAAAAGGAATACAGGGGTATCCAGTGAGTTGCAAGATCAGGGAAGTTGCCTTCCCTATGATCAGTTCCTCCAGCTGACCCAGCTGACCCAGCAATGGGTACTACAGAAAGGAGATGTTATCTCTGCAGTGGAGGCAACCAGTTAAAACCATGCTATAGCAGCAGCATTTTGCTTTCTAAAACTTCTTTTTTTCCTTCCCCCCACCCTCCTTTGGCCATCTGTTGCTGTAACAACAGCCAAAGAAAATAACAAGTATGTAAATATGTACTTGTTGCTTGCTCTTGTCTATTTGCCCCTAAAATTAGAAGAGAAGGCTCCAGACCGAGGGCACATACTCAAACCCATCTTTACAGAGTCTCATGCAAAACATGGCACACAGAAATCTTTTAATGTTTCCCCTTCAAAAGCAAAGTAAAGGCTCAGACTGGTGCTAACCCTTTCCTCTTGACTTGGTTTCTGATGAAAATAATTTACCCTCCCAATGCTTCTTATTGTTCCACAAAGGGGGCAAGATATGGAGAACTCTCTCAAGTTTCCCCTGTGGGTTTAAAAAAGAAACAGCTCACAGGGTGAGTTTTAAGTTGAACATTGGCCATTCAAAATGGATGCATTTGTTATACCATTACTGGGCAATTTCTAGCACATGGAACTAGTCCAGTCCATCATGCAGCAGGCCCCCACGTTTTTAGACCCCTGGACAGATTTGGGAATTTGAGACTCTTTTATCGGTGTCCATGGACTTCATGGCTAGTCAAAAGTGAGCTAAAGAGGTGCAGTGAAGGAGAGCAGCCAGATGCTGGAAGGGAGATGGAAACAGAAAGGCAAGGGGTGATGAGAAGGAAAGAACAGGAGGTTGCCCAGAGAGACAGTCAAGCCATGGCAGGCAGAGAAAGAATGAGGCTAGAGAAGAGAAGAAAAAAGAGAAGAGGAGAAGAGAAGAGAGGAGAGGAGAGGAGAGAAAGGAGACTGCACTAACATTTTCCAAGCTTGTTTATTGTAAAAAATCAGCAGTCAGGGAGTGGAGAACATTGTGGGCCCTGCTGGAAGTTCACACAGGTGCAATGGCTCCTCTCTTTGCCACATTGGAGACCCCTGTGATGGGGTTCCCTCTGTGGGTGCTTCCTCAAGCATTTCCCCTGTCCCAAAGGCTACCAGAATGGTTGGAAAGAAGGAAGGAGGAGGATCTCTCCATTATTGCTGATCTACAGTGAGAGATCACCATAGAATTTCCCAGTAAGCAGTGCACAGGTGGATCTCCTCGCCTCTGAGCAAGAATTCTCCAGGGAGAGTCGTGGTTGTGCACTCACCCAGGAGCTGGAGGAGCTCCTACAAGCACCAGAGGAGAACTGGGAAGACCATCCTGTGAATTCTCTCCCTGGGAACAGAATGACACCAGCATGGCCCCGTCCTTTGCCATTGAATACGCAGCCTTTGTCCTTTGGGCCAGCAGAGGTCTAGGCAGGGGGACATCTGGTCCCTCACTCAAATTCAGTCGGCCACACTTCACTTACCCACCCATCAAGGAGCAGATGACAGAATGGCCATCAGTAAACACAAATCAGATTAAGCAAAATACATACATCCCAGACCAGTACTAAAGGATCAGCTATGGCTGGTTTTGAATTTCCATAAATGAGATTTCAGCTTCAGCCCTTGTCTTCCCAATAAGGAATCCAGAAATGCTCTCTTGCAAAGCCCCTCATCTACAAGGGGATCTTCTGAAATCCAAGATTCACGAAACAAGTGAAATGCACTAATTATGTTAGATTGACTTGACTGATTTTTATTTGGAATATTGTATGTGGGATGGTTTCCTTGCTTTATTCTTCCTCCCTCCACTCCATCAGCTTCTTTTTATATTTGAACTGCATTGTTTTAGAAAGGGATGTCTAGCTAAACCATTCTCCATATGCAAAACTGCCTAGTTGCTAAGCTACCCTTTGTATTCTGGGGATATTTAATAAGGTTTGATTAAATTCTGTTTCTTCTGGGCTTTGGGAAAGTACATTCAAAATGCTTTCATTGGTATTTTTCCCTATGGGGGGCTTGGAAATTCTCTACCAGCTGACAGACAAGGGTGTATCAGGAGCTTTAACATGATTAGCAGTAGCCTATCAAGAATTCATCCTTGGCAAAGCATTGTAAAGAAGGTCTGGTAGGTGGGCAAACCCAACCCCACCCATATTAACATGGTTTTGTCTAATATTTCAGGATTATAAATATTTCAAATTTGGGTATTTGTATAGTTCAATATGTTTTTATATCAAAATCACCTTTTTCCAAATAGTTCCTTGGAGCACAGGTGTCCATTAATTCCTCTGATCACTCATATTTAAATGAAAATAGAGAGGAAAAATCAAGAATCACCACTCAGCATAGGCTGATATATTCAAAACAGGGCTACAAAAGTCAGTTGATTCATTGGTTACCACAGCAGACCTATCTCACTTACTTCAGAGTAAGTACCACTGGATTAAATAGATCTTATTTCTCAGTTGCCATGTAGCAATGCACCATAAGTGAAAATAAACCAAAAGCTTTTGCTTGGCCATCCCCAGTTCATCAACTAGCTCAAGTGAGAGTACAACCCATAGAATCCTGCCCTGAGTGACTTACAGTATATTCTTTTATAACAGTCCTGATGAGAACATAACATTGTCCAGGTAGATCACATCCCATAGGCAAAGATTAGACCCTGTTTCGATATTATTATGCTGTGAAGCTACTTTTTGACAGGTCGAATATTCAGATAGATTTGTTCTAAATAAGTAAGAGGCCAAAGGAAGAAGAATTGCTGGCCACTAGGTCTCCTCTTGCTTGACTCACCTTTAGGAAGCGTTTGTGATGATATTTTCCCAGGCACAGCTAGGCTATCCTTGGCACAACCTAACAAAGATGCTTCTTCATTCAAAGAAATCTGAACGGCAAATTCGGGTTTGCAGACACCATGCTCCATGGTTTCATTACAGTCTGTCACCAAGTGATCTGTACCTTCCGTATCACCAGAGACAGTTGAAAGTTGATTGCCTGCTTCTTCCCCAGTGGAAGAGCTGTTAACAATGTCAAGCCACGATTGTCTCTCTGGATACATGACTTTGGACAATGAGGAAGAAGAAGGTCCTTGAGACATCGAAGTGCTTTCTGGTGAGGATAAAGAACATGACACTTCACTTGATACATGCGACGTCAAGGAAGGTTCTTGCTGTTCCTGTTTTCCAGAATAAATAAGGCAGAGGGAGAAAAGATCAAGTCACAGGTAACGCCACACATGATCAAGGGTCAGCAAATTCCCAATCATGCTACTCATCTGTTTGCTGTCTGGAACTCAGCCTCACTAGATGGTACATGAGTGAGTGTCTAAAAAAGTGATCACGTTCTACCAAGTTAATAAATAATATCCAAAGTGGAGATTCTAAGAGTTCTCTCCCCAGGACAGATGCAGGTTAGGATGCCCTGCTCTGATTTCACCACCCTGGCCTTGGGATTCTGCCTTTTAGGCCTGCCTTTTACAGTGTCCAAAAAGTTTACTGACAGGAAGTCCTATCCATCAGTATTCCGCACAACCAGTAGTTGTACCATTCCAAATATAAAGCAAAACAAGGTGAGTAGTGGCACTTTCTTCATTCTTCTAACACATATTTACGCGTAATGCTCCATCCCTCTTCCTCTCAAGTTTCCTCCTTCTGAATTTGGAAACTCCTGTCCTCATATAGCCATACTTGCCTATTCTGCTGAGCCCTGTTAACTGGCTCAAATAATAAAGCTGTCTCGATAAAATGACTCCTCGGAGCACTTCTGTTATTTGTGATTGCCATTTTATCTCTGCCAGGTATTTCTACCAACAGCTAGATAAAGAGACAGAGATTCAACAGGTGATGCTCCTCTGCATATCAATACTGGAGAAACCATCTCCTGTTAAGTCCCTGTCATGGAACATTAAAGGAAAACCTTTCCAGCTCCCCAAGGCCTGCTTCTGCAAGAAAGCCTGGAAAGGATCTCTGCCTTAGTCATCTAGATCAGGGATCCTCAAACTTTTTAACCAGGGGACCAGTTAAAAGGAGTCAGTGCTAGGAGCAGGCCGGAAAGGTGGTGCCGGTGGGGCATGCGGGCCGGTGCGTGGGCCGGCACAGGGGCAGGGATGGGGCGCATGCATGCTGAGGCAGGGGCAGGGCGCGCGGCAAGGCGTGGGCGGGTGCGCAGGGTGAGGAGAGGCAAGGTGGGGGCAGGCATGCGCCACGATGCAGCGGCAGGCGTGTGATGCAGCGGGTTGCTCACTTGGAGATCATTTTCTCCTAGCGAGTCCAAAACGACCTCCTCGCAAGCAAACCACCGCCTCCCCACGCAGGGGAGGACCCATGATCTAGATAGAGAACAACATCAGCAACAACAACAACATTCGGATTTTTAGCAACTAAATCAAAACATCAATAGAATAGAAATTGTAAACTCAGGATTTTTATTAGGTCTGCAATATTAAGCGTACTTGCCTAGATGTAAAATTTTTAAATCGATGCATGTACATGTTTAGGATTGGATCATAAAAATACATGCATTACTGTGTAAGAGGGTTTAATAAAATCTTCCCCAGCCTAGTGCCCTTCTGGTGTTTTGGATTATGACTCCCAACATTCCTGACCATTGGATATACTAGTTTGTGCTGTCAGGAGCAAAAAATTCAAAATATCTAGAAGGCATCAAGTTGGGATAGGCTGGATTTATGTGTAAAATACATCTTTTCCCTGTCATAACATCTACTTAGAATCTTCAGTGCTTACGTTCTAGCGCTGCCACCGAGTTAATCTCTCAGAAGCAGAACAGAAGCACTCACTCTGGGGTGGAAATAATTTGCATTATGAGATCTGCTGAACAATAAGTGTGTGAGCTTGTGTGAAGAAAACTTCAGTTCATTGAAAACAGAGTTTCGAGCTCACTAACCAGAACAGGCCAATATGATCAGGTGATACCAGTCCATTTCTAAGCCCAATGCAAAGTCTTGGTGGTGACCTTTAAATTCCTAAATGACTTGAGACCAGACTATCAAAAAGCATGTGGCTTTCTTTAGACACCTGCTCAGATTCCTAGGCCACCTTTGGAAGCCCTCCTCTGCCTGTCCCAGTTGAAGGAAGTCAGACATATGGCCACAAGAAGAAAAGTCTTCTTAGTCATGGCACCCCACTTCTGAACTACATTTCTCTGGTGCCTAAGTTATCTGTCTGGATGCCTAGCAAAGACCTTTCTTTTCTCCCAGGCATTTTAGTTATCTTTTTATATGCTATTTCTATACTACTCAATTGGCGAAGCTCTGTGGGCAGTTCAGAACAGTTCATAAAACAGTACAATGAAATGCCATAAAAATTTCCAAATTACAGCATAAAAGCAGATAAAATGCGTTGATTTGGTTTATAGTACAAATTAGCCATATTTGTATCAAAATATGAATGAAACTAAATTCTCACTCATGCATACCAACGTGAATATCTGATATTTAAGGATCTCATCTATGGCACAGTCCTACTTTAACAAAAGCTATGTGTTTTGTCTTGCTTTTGAAACCAGCATAACTTTTGTGGCAGTACCTTCCTCCAAGTACCAACTCCAAGGGAAGTACAGAGGATGGCGGCATGGGGGAGGTCTTTCTCGGTGGTGCCCCCCACATTACGGAATAACCATGCCATTGCCTGACTGGTACTGAATTTGTCATCTTTCAGTGCCAGGTTAAGACAGCCCTCTATGTCCGAGCTTTTAAAGACCTATCTGAACACCCAGGGGTTTGAGGAATTGCCCATCCGATGTCTCTTTGACATTGTTTGGTTTAAACTGTTTTAAATCTTTAAACCTTTAACATGTTTTTGATTGTATATATTGCATTGTATTTTAATGTCTGCTTGTATTTTAATATTTGTCTTGCACAATTATTTCTATTTTATATCTGTTTTATGGAATGTTGTAAACCACCCAAAAAGCTTTGACTGTGGGCCAGTATAGAAATTAATAATAATAATACCCACTGATTGAAAACAAATAGCTGAAAATGACCCAGATACCAAGCAACTTCTGTGCAGGTCTGCATAAAGCAGGGTTCCTTCCTAGGTGCATGTACTTGGCTATTTAAGGGTGCATTTCTGTTGTTCACACTTCAAACACTTGTCTCGGAAGACAGCACTGCACCAAAGTGGAGCACCTCTTAGAGCACTGAGCAACATACAAGACACACATGAATTAGCAGTGAAATGCTGATCATCTGCCTTGACCAGAAGACCAGAAGTAGAAATGAAGTTCTAGAGAATGAGAGCACAAAGGAACGTTGTCTTTGAATGAAAATTAGATTCTCCAGCCAAATACAGCAAGTCAGTTCAAGAGCATTAAATATCCGTGAATGTTAACACCAGTCAGACAAATGGTCAAAAAAGGTGCTTTTGCATCCTTGCATCTACAAGGATACACTACACTTTCTGTCCCATGGACATTTCTTTTTTAAACCCTTCAAACTGAGGACTGAGCAGTTTTCCATGTTGTTTTAATTCAACAAACCAAATAAACAGAAAAGGCTGGAAGTGAATATGATTATTCAGCATGATTTTATTTCTTAAAAAGGTATATGCTTATCTTTCTAGTTGCTTGATAACTTCCCATCTATCAATTAACATCCAGGGAAGAACACTATAAAATGCAGACTAGCAGATGAAAATGATTCCTCTGGAGATTAATGGGTCCTCGGAGGACTATTTCTGATTGCAGTTTCAGACATGATACATCTTGACAGCCCCTTTCAAAATCTCTGTAAGTTTTTCCCACAACATAGCTAATCTTCCAAATATATTAATTCAACCAAACAGGAAGAAGTTTGCAGATAAACTTTGTCTTTGTTGAAGCAACCCTTTTCGGCTTTTTCTCTCTCCAGAAGTTATAATTAACATCACTTTCTCAAGCCATCTGGCTGGTGGCTAAGCACAGAGAAGCACATTTACCCTTAGGATAATTATCCAGTAATTATCCAATAAAATGATCCTGCTGTGGTTAATACCCTTCTTCCTGTGTAGTGTTTTGCACATTTGAAATACAGAGGAGAAGACCAAGACCAAACAATCCATAAGGGCAAAAGGATGTCGAAAGCAAAAGGCATCTTTGTCTTCCTTCCTTCAGTGTGGTTAAATCTTCCAGCGGGGGTTAGCAACTAGAGGCCCCAGGATCAAATCTGACCCGCTGAGCAATATTAACTGTACCTAAAAGCTTCCAGAAACTGATTGGCAATGTATGAATCAGCACAGAGTGGCAGCAATGGAGGGCAAGTTGCACTTTCTTCCCTCCCCTGTGCATTCTAGCAAGGGGTAGGTAAGTGGAGTGTGTGTGTTTCTGTACATGCACGCACAGGTCCTCTACCCCAGAAGACAACTAATGCAGGCCTCAGCACTGGAAGGCTTGCACCTGTGCTTCACACTGTGTTTCACTCTTACATTTTATAGGACATGCAGATATTTAGCCCCAAAAATCCCGCTGAGGGAGGAAATCTGCTCCTGGGGCACACCTGCTAGAGAAGCAGTTTTCACTGATTTCTCCTTCCCACTGCAGGACATGCCATCCCCTGGAAACCTGGCTTGGGGGGTTGCTGGAATCTGCAGGGCAGGGCAGGAGAAGGATGGGACTGTAGGAGAAAGGGAACATTGGCAAAACAAAAACAAAAAAACTCCCCCACAGAATCCAGAAGTGCCTGCTGGACTCCAGCCCCTTCTGGAAGGAGCTCCTTAATTACATAGTCCTTTACTTTCACATTACTGTAACAGGACTGATAAAATATGTATCTGAATGCCTGATGTACTCCATACTAGAGTTGACTGAAGATGATGGTTCCCTTACCTTACTAAAATAGAAATAAACATTTAGCAAAGGGTATTGGTGGCAACATAAGCCACCATCCGAACAATATAAACCACATTTAGCAATTTGCAAAGCTTGATATAACTGGCAGTGGCTCAGCCATCGCATCCTCCTGCCCCTGCCAGTGCCTGAATTATTTAAAACACCTAGGAGGTGAGTCATTTCAGGATGCAATTCTGTGGTTTAGTAAAAATGGCTGTAAACTGGGCTCACTCAATAGGCTGAGTTATTGTGCAGGATGAATGTGGAGATTCCAGGAAACGCTTTGATTCGGAAGGGTTTCAATAAAGTGAGAATAAAAAAATACTCTCGGGGGTACTGCCGAAAGCATGGGAGCAGCAGCATGCACTAGATTAATTGAAAGCCAGGTGGATTTGGGTACAGCTGCCTCTAATTTGGAAGAAAACTCTTCTTTTGGTGGAAATGCAGGAATCCCAAACAGGATTTATTCGCCAAATGCTGCAGAAAGTTTGTTCCCCAAGCCAGGAATCAAATAAGTCTGCCTGGACATTTCTTTTCACTTGGATCTTAATTCTTACCAGGGAGGCTAGTGATCCTTATGCCATTAGGACTTCTTATCCACAACACCTTTTATTCTCAGCCCTATGGGAGCAACCCATGGCCCTGAATGCCTTCCTCAAAACTTGCTCACCTAACTCCTGCTCAACTCTAGCCTGTTCCTGCTTGTTCCATCCAGGTCTCCAGCCTGACCGTGTTTTTCCAGGTACCTGCATCCATCCTCCCTGACCTTGCTTGCTGCAGAACGTGACTGTCTTTCCCAGACTTGACCTTTGGCCTGTGCGCTACTGGACTGGGTGTCTGCCTAGATCTTATTGTGTTGCTGGCCCTTGATCCCAGATGGTTGTAAGACGGGCCTCTGGCCTTCTAAACCTGGTGCAAGCCTCCACCCAAGCATCTGGTGGTCCCAGCATCTTGTCTGCAGCCACCTGCCATTCACACCATACAGAAGGCAACTTTCAGGAACTTGGAGGACAGGTCTTGCCGCCATATTAGTTTCACTTCCTCCCTAGAGCTGCACACAGTACCCACTACAGAGCTTGTGCAAAGGATTAGGAATGGTATTAGAAGCTTCTGCATGAGAGACAAGTTATACACAGCCCTCAAAAATGTAAGGCATGGGAGACACTGGAGAAGGAATGGATCATTGAAGAAGGATGTCCAAAACTGAGCCAAATCTCTCAGAGGACATTTCTCTGAGAAAGGTTCAGAGATTTTTCTTTTATTTATTGCTGGGTTTTTTTAATGCCCTAGAACTGGAAGGCTACCCTACAGAATTCTTTTTATCAGGTTTCTTTTGTACTGGGCACCTCCTCCAGCCAAACCAAAACACATAGACACAAACACTATGCCCTGAAAGGATGCCACAGGTGGACCGCTGGGAAAGGTGCACATGGTGGCCAGGCTACCTACACAATTGCACTCACAGTGGCAGAGTGAAAGAACAAAAGGCCTTGGGGAGGAGCTAAAGAACCTGCACTGTCGACAACCTCTGCTAATAATGAGATTCAGCTCTGAGAAACTGTTGGTGAACCGTTCTTTGGCAAATTTGGCAAATGGGACCCCCGGCTTCTCTACCACGGTGAAGAATTCCAATGTATGCACAGCTAAAAAATAGAGGAGAGGAACCATCTGGACCTTATGCTGTCAGAGAAGCCTCCTCAGCACTGGACGGGGTGACATCTGAAGGAACCGTTTGCGAAGTGGAAGCAGACTACTAATTACTGTACTACATACCGCATGAAGCTGCAGAGGCTGATCAGAATATGGAGGTGGCGGCATCTCTGCGTTTATTTCGGGATCTTCATGATCACTCTCACTGTAGCATTCTGCAGCAAGAGCACAATGGTTAAAAACACTGCGTTTCATATTTGGACAGCAAAGCGCCCTTCTTCAATATCACCAACGGAAAGCAAAAGGGTTTTGTTCTGTCCAGCCATGCATAGAGAGCAGTCTGTATGCAAAATAAGTATCTTCTGACTTTCCTAAATAGCAAGTTTTCCCTTTTTGCCTTTCACCTCCCTCCCCCACATCAATGAAAAAACAAATCTTTTAAAACCCTCTAAGTGTATTAAGTCTTTTGTGGTAGAAATAGGTTTGCAACTAATGTGGAATGCAATAAAAAGCCATTTTGCATGAATAAATTCTTCTGCATGTAGAACAGTTCTCTCACGACAGGGCTGTTATATTTAGATATCCTATCATTAAATGACTATCATTTTGTCTAGTTCTATGAAAAACAAAATGCATTTATGACCTAGCAAGGAAATTCACCATTTCTATACATCCATGTTCTCTCTCTCAAAGAAATCTAATTAAAGCATTAACAAAATACTGATGAAGTTTTTCCACAGCTAAAGAAATGGTTTACCTAGACAGAGCAGGGCTAGGTGACCTGCTGCCCAGAGCAGTGATGTCCCTTTCCTGGCACCTGCCCAAGTGCCCTACCTGTCCTACCCTTGGAAAAACATTTCCTTACTGGCAGTTTGGATGTAAAACAGGTACATGCTGGTGATGCAAACTGTCCTTTCAGAGGAGGCATGTGTGTTAGGACTCAGACCCACCTCTGGCTTGTACTCAGCTTTTGGGTGGGTTAGTTGTCCTTTGCCTCATGTCCCATACCATACCTTTCATACCATGGCAGCCATTTTGTGCTAGTGCCCACAGCAGGTCCTCAAATTGCCAAATATGCTCAGGCCTCAAAAAGGCTGCCTGGCCCTGCCCAATGGGTGACTATCCACTCTATGTCTAGGTCATTAAGGCCTTTCCTCATTTATTTCATTGGCAGAATGTAATGAGCCCTCAGAAGGTTTAGCCAAATGAAAACTCGCTGCCTCTAGTGCTGGCCACTTTCCGCTTGTGCTCCCTGCACCCGGATTCTTCTTTGCACTGGCTCTTTCCTACCTGGCTTGATGCATTCTTTTTCTTTACTTTAAGAGGAACATGTAGCTCTAGTCACTTGCTTTCCCCATGAAGGAAATACCCAAGTCGTGTAGCCTTTTCATTTCCTCCTTTGGTACACCGCTAGATTTAGCCATTTTCTCTGGTTATGCTTTGCTGTAGTGCATTTGGCTGGTGCATTTGTGTATGCAGCAAATATAAGGGTATCAAAATTTGGAGGATAGAAAAGGCACAAAAACTTCACATGTGGAAGAAAGTGAACATCATTCCGGGGCAAATCTCAGAATTAAGCCCCACATTCATAATGGATTTCAGAGGTGGAGAACTTTTTCTGGACTGGAGTACTTCCCAGGTGGCACGTGCCAGCAGTGGGCATGTGCAGAGCCTGATGTGCAGAGCTGGGGATGCATTTTCCCCACTACTGAAAGAGGGTTCCCTTCACAGTGCTGATCAGGCAAAAGATCTTATCTCAGATCTGTAGCTGTTCTGAGATAAGAGCTTTTGCCTGAGGAAGAAGCTGGTGGAAGAATCTGGCAGGCCATATTTGATCCTCAAGCCGGGGTTCCCCATATGTGCTTTAGTTGAATGCTAGCAAGTAATTTTGCAAGTAAATTCCACATTGTGAGCAAAGGACAGACCAGGTGCAATATGAAAGTGGCAAATACCCTTCACTTTCTCAAAGTCTGTGGCCTACCATGCCAGTGATTACAATAATTAAACCAAGGTAAACTATTAGAAATGGCTTGATACTTAAGCTTTAGGCAGTGTGTTATTACCTCTTACAATATCCTCTAAATATTTCAAATCAATCAAAGGAACATCTGCACATTTTGACCCCTCCAAGATGTTTTCACAAGGATCATCCAGGAAATAAGGTCTGGTATGGTAATTACAACCACACACAAAATCAGGCAACCAGTGAGAGGCAACCAGTGAGAGAGCCCCGGTTCGGAGATATGCCAAACTTCCAATGCAAGTGCAACCTTTGCTTCATTCCAGTGCATTCAAAGAAAACAGTAGATGTGATGAGTTTGGGTGATGTGCTTTTGCACAAGCAAAAGCTGCTGCTCACATATTCTGAACAGGCAAAAGTCACCACAGGAGACAGAAGTGAAGAGGCTATCAGAATAGAATAACAGCTGCCAATTAGCAGCTCAGGTATGCATAGAAGCATTGGAAGCAGGTTTCCCACAAAGTCAGGCCATGGATTCCTCTAGCCCAAGATTGTCACCATGGACTGGCAGAGTGGAATTCTCTTAAGGCAGCATACAAGGTAATAAGCACACAAAGTGGATACTATAAAATATTAATAAAATATATTCAATAAAATCCATTCAAAATTACCAATAAAAATCAATAAAACAAAATGCACCAATAAAAAAATCAAGAGACCAACATTACAGTATTTTGTCCTACTGCATTATATACAAGAGGTCAGCATTATATCCTAAAATAGGTATTTTTGTACATTTTCTTTATTTGATAGCAATACTTCTATATGGCTTATTATAAAAACATCTCTGAATACTTTTAGCTGCATTTTATAAGTCTTTGCTACAGCTTTGAGCCACAATCATTTGTCAAGCACAAACCCTGAGAGATAACTGCACTCCCATCCACATAATTGACAAGAAATGTGATTTGTTTCATCTACTTGATTTTTGTCTTTTGTACTTGATGTATTTGTCTGTCTGCCCAGTAAGTCAGTCCTTGTGCTGAACTGCATGTTGGACAATGAAGTGGATAAACATATTGGGTTACTCTTGAGATGGGGAAGGGGCCATCTTAGGGAGTTGATGGTTGGTGGATACTTAGCATATTGCTCTACGTTAAAATGCAAATACAATTTTACAGGAAAATAAAACCATGGACCTAATGAAATCCTGGAGCATCCCTTGGTCTGACTTCCATGTTCACAGTGCAAAATTCATGATCTGGGAATCAACGCAACATTGCCATTGTCTCCAGACTATTATTATCTAAATCCAATCCAATCTCTTCCAAAACTATTTAGAATCCTGCCATTCTCTGGAGCACATTTAATGGCATATAGTTTATCCCACCTTGGGTAAAAAGGGACAGAGAGTGAGACAGAGAAAGAGCAACAAAGATTCCAGTGAAACACTTAACATACCTTCTTCGTTCTTTTTATTGGCTTGTATGTCAAGGACAGCCAAGCCTAGTTTATTTAGCCACCTGCAATCGAAAGGAAAGCACATGCATTGGTACAGACCAGAATATACAAAATTGGGTTAGAACTATATAAATAGAAGACCTGCCAAAGAATTTAATGAACAATGGAAAGCTTATTATGAGCAATTTAACTAATATTCAAGAAAACAGAATTTGTAAAAAGTAATTTTACTTCAATGCTAAAGTTATATTATCTTAAATTAATTAGATAAATTAGATCAGTCTGTATAAGAACCTTGATTAAGAATTGATTGGCCTAAGTGAGACTATAGGAGATAGAAATTTTTGTGTTTTTTTTTGTGAATTTCTTTGATATTGAAACTTTCTGGTACATTTGTGTAATATCCCTTTGTATCTTATATATATATACACACACACACACATACACATACTTATGCATATATATATATTCTATTTCTTTTTTATTTGTAACCTATTGCTTTTGAATGAAAATAAATAAATAAAAGAGTTTAAAAATGGGTTAAAACATCCTTGCAAACGGTACGCATAGGTCACCTGCAAACGTTTCCTTAAACTAAGAATGGAGCTATTAGTACAAGAAGTGAAGTACTCGAGCCCATGAACCAGAAATAGTCCCCATTTCAGTTAATCAGCTAAGCGAGAAGCGGGAAGGACACTTATTGGCACCGCCACCCTCTTATGCCTCTTATGTGCCATGCAGCTCAGCAGACGCCCCCAAGCACAGTCGTCATGGCATGTTGCGCATTCAATGTATTGTTTGCCTTTCCTGACCATTCAGCGTGTTCACCCAGCCTCCCTTTGGCACGCAGCACCCTCCAGGCCAGGATCCTTCCATTAGCTGCTTGCTGTACAGCAGAGCAATCTATCGCGAAAGCTCAGCGAAGCAGGAACCTGTATAAATGAACTGATGCAGCAGTGGGAAGATCTTTTCTGGAGAAAGATGAGAGACAGCAGTTTTCCCAAGTGGGAAAGGGGGAGCAAGGGAAGCAAGCTTCATCAGGAGCTGACATGTCATGATGGAAGAGCTGCCTCTTTGCCACTGCTCCTAGCGACTCATAAATGCAAGGAGGAGAAGCTTAACCCTCCCCTCCCCTCCCCAAGGTCTTCCTTTCCCCCAAGAGGAAAACCACTTCACCTGCCCAGTCACTGGCAGGGGGCTGCCAAAGCCGTCTGCCACTCAAGAGGAAGCTGATCTGGGTGGCAAAGCAAGGACAGGCTGCTCCAGATGGCCAGCCCCACACTGAAGAGGTGAATTGGCTCCTGCTTCCTTACTGTTTCCTGAGTTGTGGGGCAAGGAGGGGAGGTTCAGCCTGTCCCCTGCCCCCTCCACACACAAGCTTCTTCCTCCCCACTGCTCAGAAAACAGCTGCACGGTGGTGACGGGAAGCTCCGTGTGAGAGAGAATGGCTGTGTGGCTGCAGGTCAGGGACAACCCTTCCCGTTTTAAATTTGGCTCTGCCCATTCGGGACAAACAGCCCCCATGTTATTAGCCAAGAGGCTATATAGTCCTCTGGCCAAAATGTAACCCCCTCCTCTGGACTAATGTCTGTGACAACAAGCAAGGAAAGAACAGTCAAAGGGGTGGTTGCTCTTGGACGACAGAAACAGGTGAAGGTTGGATGTTTGCCTTTGCTTACCTATTCATTTCTTCTCCGTTTTCAGCTGCAAAATAAAATGTCTTGATCTGTGGATGAGTGATCTTCATGGCGCTTGAAAGAAGCAAGGTAAAGTACATATAATTACATTTATGGAAAAATGAGCATTTTGCCACATTTTTCAGAATAATGCAAGGTAATCTGTCTAAGATCATTAAAGACCATGAACTCACAACAGAAATCACTGGTCCCAGGGCAAGATGCCAGACCTTGCAATAAATCTAAATACCAATTGTTACAATAATAAACTCCAGTGAGGGAATAAGTAGACCCAGTGGAGCTATTCACAGCATCCAGGGCATGCTGCATCATCAGACGTTGCCTGTGTGATCTCCTGCATTGTCCGAAAGCCACTGCTGTTGGTCAACAAGTCTGTCTTTAAGACAAGACTAAAAGGGCACAAATCAGACCATCAGGAATAAGGACTTCAGGAAGCCTGCCCACAAACAGGCTTCAGCATCTCTGAACATATTGCCATAGACCTTCAGCAAGAAACTGAAACCAGGGGCTGGCTTGGACTGTAAGGTCACAGAACTAGAGATGATAAAGGAATTTGCTAACCAGCAAGGGAAGTCTCATGCCACGTTTGAGCAACAATGGAAGTGGCTTAAACAATTTTGGAGTGACCAGAAATCATAATGCTTGGTAGGCTATTTTTTGTTTTATAAGGAAGGGGAAATGCTAGTATAAATTGACTGCTTGGTTTCCTGTTGTTATTCTCTTTTTTCCCCTCTGGAAACATCTCAATTATTAATACAAAAGATATAAATAAGGAAAAGCCTGCTGGCCTTCACACATGAGTTCAAACAAGATGGAAGGCTTGTCTTCCTAAAGCCTGCAGCATCCCAATGCCAAATGCCATTCATTTCCTTTGGAAGCAAAACAACACCGGGTCACCATCACATTTTCATGGACTTGCAATCGCAGTTCAAGCTCCGATCAGTCACCATGTGCCCAATGCCTGATGCAAGCAGTCAGCTTGAAATGTTGCAGTGGGGGAAAGCTGCCTCCTTCGCACTCTGCAGGAAAGTTTCACAGAAGCATCTGCGGGAAACTGGGCGCTAGACTGAAAGGATGATTTGCATCATCCAGCAGGGCTCTTCTTATATTCTCAGTTTGGTTTACGTTTTACTTTTCATCTTCTCAAAGCTCCACAAAAAGTGATAGACTTACTACTTTTTCTTGCATTCTGTTGCTTGATCCACTGTGAAGTTTGGAAGGCTGAGGAATCCTTCAGCTTTCTCTGCCTATGACCAAAAAAGGAACCAACATTAAAGCATGTCACTGGGGGCTGTGAATGGACCGAACTTCTGGTAAATTTTCTTATTATAAGAAGTATTTCTATCTACTTGACAGCTATACTGTAATGCAAGGACGAGGCATCACAACCCCACTCTAAACACATAGAAGTTCAGTGCATTGTTATCTCAGCAGCCACACACTTCATTGGATTCTGAACTTTTGCAAACGCTAAATGTTCAGTGCACTGCTGGCTGCAGAACTTCAACAACTGAGTTTGTGATGAAACAAAACTAAAAAAGTGTTTATTTTAAAACATGTTCCTCCTCCCTTCCCTCCAAAAAGCTCTAGGCAGTTTACAGGAAGTCCACAGAGTAACAAATAGAATTATCTTCCCATTTAAAACATAACACAGAGAAGCAGAAACAGAAACCACAATCCAGTAGTCCAAACATAAAGTAATAGAAACAGATTTAAACAAGAAACTGAGATGGCACAGTGAGTATCTTCACCAGCTTCTAGGAGCTCAGTAACGGAGGAGGTGCGGCAGCTCTGCCTCGGAAGAGAATGCTGACAGCTAAGCATGACTGCCAAATGGCCTTCTGCCTTTTACTGGTTTCTTAAGTTACATATGAATGAACTCTTGGGAAAGTCAAAGCTGTGTTTCTGTGTGACTTGCGTCCCTACTGTGCAGAGAGCTGGTCACTCAGTTGCTGCAAAGTGGCTCTCGGGGGCATGTTATTGGTAGCCTGGCGTACCAAAAGTCCTGCACCTCGGGGACAGCGCCAGCTCCAGCACCTCAATGGCCTCCTCCCTCAGCAGCTCCATCTTCTCACCAGCATGGTCACCGTGCCATTGTTCTTCCCCCTCCTCTCTTGTCCATCACAAGGAATGTCCAATTTCTGAATTTTAACGCTTTCTGCTGCCAAGAGTGTAAACTGTGACCTGGATAAATCCCTCAGATATTTTTCTCACTTCATGCAGAAAGAACTGGTAAGAGCTCCTTGCAGTGGAGGATGGGAAACCTCTCAATTTGCCAGCTGAGACTGTTTCTTCTTTAAGCATTTCAGTCTTCTAGCCAGGCTTCAGTGTTGCTTTTTCCTTCTTTTTGTCTATAGGCCAACTGTTCACCACCTTTATCATAGAGAAGCCTCTTAAGACGATTCCCATGTAAAAGAGGGGCAGGAAAGTTATTACCCTCCAGATTTGGACTCCAGTTCCCACAGTCCCTGACCATTGGCCATTACTGCAGGGGCATATGGAAGAGGAGGTCCAAAATACCTGGAGAACACCATCTTGCTTATTCTTGTTGCAGAATCCTTCTGAGCTCCCTCCATAATGTATTGTGTGAGGCATCAGACCCTTCTTCCATGCTGGATGAAGCATTTCCATCCAAGTGTCAGCCACGGCTAAGAACGTAGCTGGAGCACTCCTAGAAGAATGGCCCAGTGAGCTGCACTGTGTGAAAGCAGCAGATGTTACAAGGTTCCCTTTTGTGATCAGGGCTGTGGGTAAATCGACTCTCAATTCACGGTTGCTTTGAATCACCTGCATAAGGAATGCAGCAATGTGTTGCACACCCACAAAATGGATTCCTCACACATCCCTGTCCAGACAAGATCATTTTCTATATATAACCCTCCCGTGTTTCCTCACTGCTTCTTCTATCTTTTTTCTAGCAATGGAAAAATATCTCAAGTGAATCTTCCTTTCTTGAGAGAGTGTGGAATTCATTCTTGTGAGCCCAGACCAGAGTTCTCCTTCAGTACAAGATCTTGTTCCATGAATCCAAATGTTTGTACATTAGGAAGCTGAGGAAAGCAACCACGAAGGTACTGGATCATTCAGGAGTTAAACCAACCAACTCAGTCTGTGCCACATGGCTTGGCAGCTGCCGCATGCCCTGCAGCACTCAATCAATTTTGAACTTACAGCATATTCATAATACATCAATCCATAATACATATGGTGAAGGTGAGTGTCATAAATGGATGCATTTCAATCAACGTGCCAATACCTTTCCCTTACTAGAAAAATGATCTATTAAGAAGGAAACGATGGGATAGGTGTGCGGTGCCTTGGAAATGCGGCACTGAACACCCTCTGTCCAGAAGTACCCTTGACCTTCCTTTATGAACACGCCGGTCCAGCTGGGTCTTCCCCCACCCACCCCTGCTTCTCCCTGTCAGCATCCCGCGAGAGGATTGTTCATCCTGAGTTTGGACAAGTGTGTGTGGTGGGAAGGCAAAGTGTTGGCTGAATCCATTTCAAAGCCTAACTAATACTTATTTTCTCCCAAAGCACACTGATAGATGAACACACACCACACCAGCCTGCTGTTGCTATGTTACACTCCTCTGCTTCTCTGGGCAACTAAAGATGTTGCTGAAAGATTAGCAGAATTCTTGCTTCCTAAAAATATGGTCTGCCGCCACAGAGACATATGCAAAGCAAGCAAGACAATGGGAAGATGAACATCATTGCTTTGAATGGGGTCCCTGCCTCCGCAGACACGCCAGAGCATCGCCTCCGGACTCTCCACTTATAATCCGAGCTGTGCATTCAAGTGCACAAGGGGCTGTCCCAGAGCCCCATCAAAACAGTCAGTGCCAGCCACCCCCACGGTCCCAAAACCACAGAAAGCTGCAGGTGGATAAGTGATGTCGGTGAACTTTTGTCTGCAGAGGAAGACTTTTGAATGCTTAAACTAGAGGTGAAGATGGTCAGTTTAAGATGGCCAAAGAGCGTGAATATAAAACAATGCTGGGATGCTCCAATTCCGACCGGAGTTAACCAGAGTATAGGCTTTATAGGAAGCCTATAAAGTGGGGCATATAGAAGGGGTAGGGAAACCCCTTTGAAAGGGGACCCCTTCTGATATTTTGGCTGCACCTCCCAGCATGCTGCACCAGCGGCTATGCTGGACGGGGCTGATAGCCGCTGTAAGCCACAAGGCTCCCACAACTTGCATGGAGTGACAGCTTTCTTCGACAGTCCCCAGAATCTGGCATTCAGCCTGAAAGCTAGGTAGATCAGAGCCGTGCTGAAAATTCATTCCATGTTTGCAACCATTCTCTTTCTTTTTGAAAGCATGCTTTTGAGGATTCTCAAAAGGATCCTCATTGCTTTTGAGAAAAGGTTCAAAGCGGGGTAATGGCGAAGTTCTGATGGGCATGGCTGCTGGCTTAGTTATAGGGGCCCAATGCGTATGCATGGATATCCTGTATTTCATTTTACATTCATCTCTTCTACAGTCTACTCTGCTGCTGTCTCAGCTGCCCCATTTCAACTGATGCCCAAGGGGAGATACGATGAGTCAATTCTTCTTGTTCAGATTGGCAACAGCCAGGCAGCGGCACTGCAGAGCGAGGCAGAGATGTGTGTATCTTTTCTTTCTACTGCACAGCACCCTTTGCCAATTTGCAAGGTAACACAAGCTCTACAGGACCACCCAAAGCAATTCAAAAGGCATTCTAAAATGCCCTAAGAACAAAGCAGGACCCCTCTCTGAATATGGAAGCTTTATCGGGCAATCATGGCTCATGCACAGACTTCAGATGTTGGATCTAGAAACATCTCTCTATGGCTGCGAGGTTTTACTGCACCTTTTACTTCTATTTCATACTTTAGTTCTAAACTTTTAAATGTTATGTTGCATGTTGTGGTTTTAATTGTTGTGAGCCATCCAGAGAGGTTTGACTATTGGGTGGTGTAGAAATATAACAAATATAGAATACAAATCCCAACACTGGCCATGTCATAACTGGAAGGTCCAACACATTTTGGAGCATTTAAACCGCTGGAAAAAAATATTTGGCAAGCAACTGATAGTCACACAAAAGAAAAGACATACACATGACCACAAACATCAATGACTCCCATGGCTCTTAGAGCTTTCTGCAAAATCTGTCGTCTGCCTCCGGCACCCAGGGACCATGTAACAGACTTCTTTGTTTATCACCTCAATGGCAGGTGCAACATCTAATCTGGAAGTGAAACCCCAAATGTAGCTTCATTTCAAAGCACCCAAAGAATCTGCTACATAGGGAGGGTAGGGTGACCATGTGCCCTCTTTTTCAGAGGACAGACTTCTATCTGAAGGGCTACCAAGCGCCCTCTACTTTAAGGGGTCCTCTCTTTAAAGAGTCCATGTCCACTATAAAGAACCACCCAAAGGGTGAGCCAGAGCCAAAGGCATCAGCATCACCTGGATAGCAGCATCTGAGCAGGGTGCATGGACTATGCTGAAGTGTCCTGCATCTCCATTTAAATTGTAACCATTCTGTTTAAATTTGCATGTGTATGGATATATACTAATTTTATGCAAATTAGTTTTTTTCCCTTTTTTTGTCCTCTTTTCTCTTGTTGTGTCTCCACTTTTCAGCAATTCATAATATAGGAAGTTCTAGGCTGAGATAGATTTTGGGATTCTCTGTTGACTCACAAGTTACATTGTTTCCTGCATATCCAGGTAGCTGTGGCAAAACATTTTCCTTTCCACACTTAGTAAGCTTGCGATCCTTGAATGCAAGAGATGTGCACATGACTGGAAGGTTATTTAAGTTCATATCCATATTTTGTGCTGGATATTGGAGACCTTGAGGTCAGCCAACTGAAGAAAGAAATTCACTCTTTCCCTGGTGTGAGAGACAAGGCAATTTTGCTCGTGCAGTATATGCCCAAAGCAAAAGGTATGTTTCAATTCACAGGTTTAGCTTTTGCTGAGATCTGCCTGTACCGTGTAGCTTGCACCTTGCATATAGACAGTACTGTGTGGAGAGGATTTTGTAAAAAGCAAAGCCTCATTTGTGGATCTGAGCAGACCAGAGGCCCTGTAATGGACAAGAGATCCTCACTGATCTTGGTAGTCATGTCAAAAATTGTTGGACATGATCCTGCAATAAATTTAAGAACAGCAATTCAAATTTAAGAGGAAGCTAGCAATTAACCAGCAGACCCAAAGTAACAATGCAATTCTCATTCATCACCACATGGACTCAACCACAGCCTTGCCTTAATTGCAGCAAAAGGAATAAACGCAACTGGTCTCATCTGCATTTCAAGAATGCTGGTCCCCAAATACCATGATGAGCTGGATCACTCATATGACCCTTATTATGTAGCATACAAGCACATAATAATGGAATATAACAATACTGTCCATCATAGAAACTGATAACCTGCACTGGGGTAGGGCAGCTCAGACAACAGGAGTGGTGGAGAAATTTGTTCAGTATCCCATGTAAATGCAAACTGATCTAATTTCATATTTTAGTTCATGTGAACCGAAACACAGTCATTCTTCAACAATTCGCACTTTTCTACAATAGAGTCCCCCCACTAAAAAAGCACCCAAAACCACTTGTATTAGACAAAATACTGTAAAATACACATTATATTAGGAAAATTGCTTGCAAAAATATGTTCATTAAAGATGTATGTGTGCAAAAGATGCTTATTGATTTTCATGCAAACTTTAAAGACAATCTCAACGTTCAGGACAAACTGAATTTAAAATTGGAAAAATGAGAAAATAGCAGAAAGCAGACTTGGCACATTTCTTCATCCCTGTTGGGTATAAGCAGAACCATCTTAGTGCCAAATCCTGCTGGGGGTCCAGAAGGATACTATATTTGGCTTTATTAAAAGTAGTTGCTCAGAGGGCCAGGATAAACAAGATGGTTACACTTTCTCTGTCTGACTATACCAATCTCCTTTGTAGCCGGGCTCAGATCAAGAAACTGAAATGGATTAAAATATCCAGCGTCATCCAAGGGGACCAGTCTAAAATTAGTTATACTGGACTGGCCCAAGAAGGATTTCTTTAACAAAAGTATGCCTTCCTTCAATGGGAATGAGCCAGCTGTTTCTTTCAAAGAGACATCCCTGACTAGGCTGCCCCATTTCTCTTGGCTACATGTGATTATTACCCGCAAGGGACAAGGGGCGAAGACACACATGGATAATGTGGGCAGTTTCAAGAACTCTGTCCATTAACTGTAACAAATGAATCTCATCCATGCAGGAAGCCAACCAGGAACACTTTTGGCATAAGTTTCATAACTAATGCAGCATTCAAGCCAGACTTATTTTTTATCTACAAAGGGTTTTACAAGCAGATCACAGAATCGGATTGTGGTTCCTCCTGCTCATACGGAGTCCAGCCATTCAGATTATAGCACATATTTAGCCTGTTAAAGCACATACACACACACACACACACACACCTTGTTCCAGATGGTACTGCACAGCTGCAACCAAGGAAGCAAAATAAGATTTTCCAACACAGTCAAATTGTCTACCTAATCCAGAAGTTTTGTATGGCTTAAACAGAATAGCTAGCAAAGGGCTTGGGATCTACAATGATATTTCTGTACTGCAGCAAAACGACAACACTGTGACCTGCCTGCTGAATCCAAAACAGGTAACAGGGTTAGCTGGATTGACAGTCAATGAAATCAGAAGCAAAAGAGCCAGAAGTTTTCTCAGGCAGGCTGGCTGGACGCAATGAATACAACTGACTTATGCAGACCTCCTGCTACCTGATACCATTCAGATGTTTTGGACTACAAGTTCTATCAATCCCTGCCAGCATGACCACTGGTCAGTGGGCTGCAGTACAAAACATTGGAAAGATACCAGGTTGGCAAAGGCTGTCTCATGCATTCTTAGATAATTGTTCAGTACAGCTAATGTTTTCAATATAGGAGAGTTTTTAAAAAAAGAAAGAAACCTAAAATAACTCCCGCACAAGTTTAATTCTGCCCCTTCCTTGTGACTGCATAGCCAATGGTGATATTGCCTAGTGGGGTGTGCACTTCATGTCATTTCCCTACACAAATTCGGTCAACATGCTTACCAGTTGATTGCTGTACCAATACAATGATGAAGCCTTCAGCACACACCAGAACTTTTTCCATTTGTTGCCGATAAAGCTTCCTTTCCCCTTTTTCTTGTAGAGCCATCCCTGGCAATCTGCTAGTCCCAAGTCCTTACACGAGATTCTTCGGCGGCTCATGACATAAATTCCTGTGGCATTAGAGACAAGAGCTACTTAAAAACACAGATGCACACACCATGTACAAAGCTACCAGGTCCCCCCCACCCTTTCAAATATAATCCTTCATCCTTCCAATACCATTAAGGTCAGCAAAGTTAAATCAATCAAAATGAAGCCTTTAGGAATCCCATCATGATAGAGAACATCCTTTTAGTGAATCAAAATTAAACCAGTTACTGGATATTACACTTAAAGTAACTGTATATTTTTTAAGTCTTCAGCCAGTGTAGCTCTATAAAACTGGTCAGAAAGATCTTTTTTGTGCCACAGTTAGAACAGATCAACACTGAATAAAGCAAAACAGCCCCTCTCTTTCTCTCTCTCACTCGCTCTCATTCTCTGTCCCCACTTCTCTCTCTCTCTCTCTCTCTCTCACATACATGCACTGCAATACTGACATACCAAAACAGCTTAGAACAACTGAAGAGCCTGTCATTGTTTTTCTACGCAGAATAATTGGAGGCAAAACTGAGCAGAAGAATATGAGCTGTCCACCACCAACAACTAAATAACCTCCACTCTGCGAGAGCACAGGGACACAATAAGCAGAAACAGGAACAAAAGGAAGCTTTCAGTACCTTGATTTTTCTTCCTTGTCCTCTGACGCAAAGGAACCTGCAAGAGATGCAGGAAGGAAAGAAAAAAGGAAATTTCAAGACTGTGTTGCAACATGTGTAGAAAAGGGAGGGGGCTCTGGAGAGGGCGGTGGCGGCGGCGGCAGCATCTCAGCACAGAGTGGAATCTTTCAAACCCACCCACATGGCTAATGGGGAAGCAAGTAGCTGAAGCATAAAGAGCTGTAATTAGAATCGATTCATATGATGCTCCATGAGAAAATTCAGCAGTCCTTTGCCTCTGTCACAAAAGCTTCCTCTTTTGCACCCACAGGCAGTTACGCTATGCAACAGGAACTCAGTGTGTAAACTTTAACCAAAAATAACATATACAAAAAGTAAAATAAGATTAGGCTTCCTTGAACTGTATGATCTTATAGAATCGTAGAATAGTAGAGTTGGAAGGGGCCAGGAAGGCCATCGAGTCCAACCCCCTGCCATTGCAGGACACCACGTTACACCATCCCACTCAGATGGCCATCCAGTTTCTGTTTTAATGTCTCCTAGAAGGGTGCACAGTATTCACGGGATGAAAAGATGCCCATTAGTCATTGATTGATGGATCATTTCTTTGGCATCCCCCGGCGGATGCCACTTCCAAACTAGCCTGCAAAGAGCCAGAGAGTTGAGGGAAGGAGAAGCTTGTAGGAAGTGTAGAGCACAGCCTAGCCAGTGTCATCCCACTGAAATCAATAACGGTTCAGTGTCAAGCCACATATGCACCTACGTCTCAACGTGGCTTCCTTGGTGGTTACCGGCAGCTGCACATATGCAACATGTCTGCAGTGGAAACTGTTGGGCTTTCAGGGATACTAGTTTTTCACAGATGCAGATCAGTGCCTGATGTTGCATTCTCCCAGTGAAGACTGAGCACCGCATGTTTACCTGCTTCCCTGCCTTTGAATTCCTGAAGGTCACTGAGGGGCAGCTACGACTTCCCGGTGTGGCTTCTGTGAAAATGGTTGTGAAGAGACAAGGGGACACTACTGCACCTCCCAAGCAAAAATGGGGAAGTCTGTGTCTAAGATGAAACAGCTCTCATTCAGCAGCCCTCCCGCCTGACTGACATTCACTCTTCTTACGATTATGGCAGAAGGGGCTCTCCTGACCTTCCATTCTTCTCCTGATGGACTTCACATCTCTTCACTATAGGCCTTTTTAAACCGATTCCTCCCATACCTAACCATTCATTGTCCACTCGCATGTGTCTCTGCTCACCAGCTTACTTTAGGCTGTTAATTTCTCTGGTCCCCAGAACCACTTGTCAGCTGTCTTCAACTCAGATCTTCACCCCAAGCTGCAATCCACATCACCAGCCATGTACACATGTTGTACCAGTCTTGTGATCCGTGCAGCCCGTATCCAAATTGAAGCTCTTTGCATCCTGAGGAATTCTGGAAAGTGGGCCGATCAGGATGTAGCAAATTATGGATGCTCACCAAGTGATTCAGAAGAAGAGTTCAACATACATGAGAGCTACTGGAAAGGTTAGCCTGAGTGTGAAAGCAGTGGCTGGCCACAAAGAGATATAGTTAGTTTGAGTGGGATGGTGTAACCTGGTGTCGTGCAACCCAATGGCCTTCATGGCCCCTTCCAACTCTACTATCCTATGCTTCTATGAGCTGATTTGAACACATAAGCATTGTTTTGTGAATT